AAAGTTTTGTTTTTTCGAAAGTATTTAGTTTTGAAGTTTGAAGTTCGCGTGGTAGTTTGTTTATAATAAACATCGTATTAAATTACAATGAAATCTAAATTGGGCTGATACTGATCGTGTCTGCGTTAATATAGCGCGTTTGTTTTGTCAAAAATCATGATTTTCCAATCTTACCGTTTGCGCTAATAGTCAACTAAAACACAAGTTTAATACAAAATGTAGATGTTACATGATATATTTATGTTGTGTGCGGTGGTCCATAAATGTTGTGTTACAATGTCTATACTGTCATTCTTGCGATGTGCGAGTACAAGTATTCGTTGCGCGCTCTAACTTTAAGAAAAATACGTCCGTATCACAGAATACTTCCCCGTCAAACTTCGGGCATCTAGACCGAAGATGCGAGTTCAAATCCCGCTCGAGATTTTGGAAATGGTTTCAAATAAGCGTTTCCAGTCATTCAATGCAACATAATTTAGTCATGCGCACAAACAAGTTAGGGTCTTGATTGCGTCCCATAATCCTTGTATTCGCCTACACTTGCGTACATAAATACAAATATAGGAAATGCTAGTAATGTGGTGTGGCTAGTGATAGTAAAAGGTGGCATCAATACGCGTGCTAGCGCGCGTTATGAGTTTGGGCTCGGTGCATTGTCCTCCCATGCAGCTAGTCAAAGCCGTCCATCGACTATTAATGGAGTCCCTGAGGTTAGGGAGGGTGGCATCATAACTGCGATGAATGTGGGATGGGTGTCACCTATGGGCGCAACATTTTTAAGCCAAAAAGATCTTTTCATTGGTCTTTTCAAAGTAGTCCGTTTAATTCTAAGCCAAAAGGATCATTTCAAAAGCTCTGCGGAGGAGAGAAATGTTCTGCCGTATAATTTTAGCCTGTCTGTACACAGGCTATATAATTTCAGATGATTGGAATTTGGAAACTATTATTGCTCCCTTCGGAAATTTTCAAAACATTCCCTAACCCCCTCGAAATTATCGGGAATTGCTTGAACCCCCTCTGAAATTTTGGGGATTTCTTGACCCCATTGGAAATTTTCGGGAATTTTTTCACCCCATCGGAAATTTTCGGGAATTTCGTGACCCCCTCTGAAATTATCGGGAATTGCTTGACCCTCTCTGAAATTATCTGGAAATTCTTGACCCCATCGGAAATTTTCGGGAATTTTTTGACCCCTTCTGAAATTATCGGCAATTGCTTGACCCCCTCAGAAATTGTCGGGAATTGCTTTTCCCCCTCGGAAATTATCGTGAATTTCTTGAGCCCCTCATGCAAATAGATAATTCTTACAATCTCAGAAATATAGAAACTGACTTAGCACTTCCTATGCCAAACAAATAATTCGGCAAGAGGTGCTTTAACAATATAATGGGGCCTCACTTTGGAACAATCTTCCCCAGGAGGCAAAAAATTCAGAATCGTTAAGCTGTTTCAAAACAATTTTGAATCAAAGAATTTTTTGAATCTGGCTCATCAAAATATATTAACCTCTAAGCAGTAGAACTGTGCTATTATTCACTTGTTGCTAATGTGTTTTATCCTGTAGTTCTAGATCACGCCTCTCATGAAAATCAGCTTGTAATGTTGTTGAGGCTAGCGTGAATAAATAAAGTTTGTATGTATGTATGTATGTATGTATGTATGTATGTATGTATATGAATTCTCAGATTGAAGCCCTAATTTTAACCAGTTCCACATGCCAACATCGCCGCAATGCGAATCAACGTGAACGACTCCAACCACACGAACTTCCCACGAGACCTTGGCAAAAGAAGGGAAGGGCAAACCCCATTGGAAACCGAACCACAATCGTAAATGCGGTGAGTTATAAAAAATGATAACTCTCTAACATCTTCATAATGTTAACGAGAGAGAGTTACGTCAAACGTAACTATACAATACAATACAATAAAAAAACTTTATTTTAACACGGTAAAATCTTCAGTACATTAATTAAATATTAAAAAAATTACAACTGATTTCCAAGATTGCCGTGTGGGAGTCATTTTACAAATTATAGTAATAATTTAAGGAATTCTTAAATAGTGGTAACGAACGAAGCATTCGTATATTTTGAGGCAGGTTATTCCACAATAAGGCTCCACTATAACAAAGGCTTCGTTTTAAATAGTTAGTTCGTGGCTTAGGTAAATTTAGCTTTATTTCAGAGTCTCTTAAGTTATACCCACTGCCGCGAACAGAGAAGAGATTTTGTAGGTAAGATGGTGCATCACCATTGATTATTTTAAACATAATTCCAGCCTTAATCTTTTTGCGTCGTAAACAAAGATTGTCTAGGTGCAAATTATTCAAAAGAGAACTAGCGCTTGTATCATAGTGCGACCTCGTAATGACTCTTACTGCTCGGTTCTGTAGTTTCTGTATTTTATTACTGAGAGTTTCTCCAAAACCGTCCCAGACCGAGCAGCAGTAGTCAAAATGAGGTTGTATCAAGGCTTGATAAACCTGAACAGCTGTTCTCGTACTTACAAATGGTCTAATACGTTTTAATGCACCAATGGCTGAAGCAATTTTCTTAGTTATTTTCTCTATATGGGTTGACCAAGAAAGGTGTTTGTCAATATGTACTCCTAAGGATTTAACAGTATCGACTTTGTTGATTTCACTACCATCAAGCTTAATGGTTATACTACTTTGAGTAGCATTGATTCTCTGTCGAGATCCAATGGTCACAAACTCTGTTTTTGCAATATTTAAACTGAGCTTATTTGTGATAAGCCAGCTTTTAAGACGTTCTAATTCAGAATTAATGACACTTTGGAGCTCTTCCAGAGAATCAGCTGCAAAGCTTACATTCGTATCGTCTGCAAACATTCTAGGAGTGGCGTGGTGGAGGCAATTTGGCAGGTCGTTAATATAGATAAGGAACAGTAACGGACCCAAATTACTCCCTTGTGGGATTCCGCACCTTACTGACGTCCAACCTGATAGCCGATCATTAACTTTGCATTTTTGTGTTCTGCCAGTAAGATATGATTCGAACCATTTTAAACTATTATGGTCGATACCATTTCTAATTTCTGTAAAATTATCTGATGATCAATAGTATCAAAGGCTTTTTTCAGATCAATGAAAACAACCCCATTAATTAGACCATTATCTATATTAACAGACCAGCTATTTGTAGCCTCCAGCAACGCTGTTACTGTACGATGCAATTACCGAAATCCAGATTGACAGGTGGTCAACAGATTGTTGTTGTTAAAATATTTATTAAGTTGGTCGAAGATACACTGGCGACACCCTTGCTTCCTTCCATTCATCTGGAAATATTCCAGTATGAATAGATTTAGTAAATATCTCTGTTAAAGAAGGCGCAATCACATCTGCCGCCATTTTTAACAATTTATTTGGTATTTTATCAAGACCAACAGATTTTTTTTCATCAATCGTTTTCAACAATCTGTGGACTCTATCAATCGTAGGAGTTTGCAGGTTGAACGTTTTATCTGTAGGTGTGAGATAGACCTCTGGGTTATACTCAGAAGCGGGTATTTTAGCTGCAAGATCAACCCCAACATTTGAGAAATGGCTATTAAACGTTTCAGCCATTTCGACAGGTGAAGTTACAACTTGCTCGCCTATTTTAATTTCCGAAATTCTTTTATTTTCGTACAGTTTCGCGAATTTATTTCATTAATTAACTTCCATGTTTTTTTCATATCTCCTTTATGTTTATCAAGATTTTTGGTAAAGTAAAGTCGCTTTGCTTTTTTGATTTCATTGTTGACCTGATTTCTTGCATGTCTATATTGAGACCATTTTTGTGAATCTTTAGAAGAGATGGCTCTCTTTTTTAAGAAATCACGATTGAAAATTAAATGTCTTAATTCATTGGTTACCCAGGGGGATCGCTTGCTGCGGACTCGCCTGGTCCTAAGTGGTGCATGCCTGTCAATTACATTCATTAATAAATCTTTCCATGTTGCCCACATTACATTTGGGTCTTCATAGTGGTGGACATTTTCCCAAGGTTGTTGTCCCAGTTCGCTTAGAAAACTATCTCTATTAAACGTTTTCATTGATCTAGTCTCTATGTTTCTTGTCCCAGTCTGTACATAATGTGCTTTGCGTATAATATAGACCATCGAGTGGTCACTAATTGAAAGATGAATTACACCAGAATCAACAGTTGTTGATAATGAGTTTGTTAGGCAGAGGTCAATCATAGTGGTAGATTTCTCGGTAATTCGTGTTGGTTCTTCAATCAACTGATGCAGGCCATAGATATCAAATAATTCGGTTAATGTGCTTTTACATGAGGAGTTAGCCGTCGGTGTGAAATCAACATTTATGTCCCCAAGAAGAAAATATTCTAAATTTTCGGCGTCAAGTGCCCCAATCATTGTTTCGAACTCGGCAAAATGACTTACTGGAGAATCAGGAGGTCTGTACCAAGTGCTTACCAAAATAGATTTTGATCGTGGTTTTGTAATCTCTACGGTCAGATTTTCTAGGATTTCTGATTGCAGATCATAACGTATTTTATAGTTTATGTTTGAACGAACATAAAGACAAACTCCACCGCCTTTGCGGCCATTCACTTTTCGATCTCTCCTAATTATTTCAAATCCTGGTAAACAAACCTCCTGATCACTAATTGTGAGGTCAAGCTTAGTTTCATTGATACATAATATATCAATTTTATTACTACAAATAAATATACGTAATTCATCTATATGTGCTATATGACTGTTAATGTTTAAGCATGCCATTACCATTCCTCGAAGGAAAGACTTTGTGGTTATATTAAAATTAGTGGTGTTTAACTCACCAAATCCTACTATTTGATCATCACTATCTGTTTGTTGTAGTTCAACATTACTTGACTCCCAAACGGCAATGTCCTAGTCTTTTTTATTATGAATATACTTATTAAAATTACGAGATAGCATTGCTGTCCCCACTTTGTTGAGATGAATCCCGCTTCGATTAAGATGATTTGATGTAATATTATGATGTCCAATGAATTTCCAGTGGCGTTCGAGACACATTTCTTTCAAAACTTTGTTAACCTGATTCACTTTATTTGCAAGATCACCATTATCTATCCGAGTAATTAGACCAGATATTATAACCTCTGTCTCAGATAAAGTATTCTTGACTGACTCTGCCAGCGAGATTATTTCTTCGGCATGTTTAGTAGAAGTTTCCCTACTCTTAAGGCTATTAGTGCCAACATGCAGAATAAGTTTGTCAGGTCGTTTTCTTTGTATGGGTTTGACGTGGTCTGCCATATCTAAGATAGTGCATCCAGGAAATGTTGAAACTTGGACCCTCGTATTTTTTGCAGACATTCTATATATCCATTTAAGTGCTTAATCATTGAATCACCCGCTATTATGACTTTTGTAGGCTTAGTTGTTTCACTATTATGGGCTCTACTTTCCTCCTCTTGCATATTACTGCTTCTTTCCTGGGTTTCTCCTTGACTATTAGAATGGCCATTTACATTCAGTTCTTCTGGCATTGTATCCGCGAGTGCTATATTTTCTTCTGTAACAGCACTCGTTGATGCGGTTTCCACTGTACCAGCATTGGTTGATGCAGTGGGCAATCTTTCTTTGGTAACATACGTAGATCTCTTTCTCCTTTTCTTCGGTGTCTTTGCTGCAGTCCAAGCGTTCTTTTGCTGATCATTTGCATTATTGTTCCTGTCACTGTAATTAGTATGCTGTAAATTGTCTTCTTGTAATAATCTAATTACCGTTGTGAGGCTAGATTTTTCACTTTGCAATTCGTTTACTTTTCTTTTAAGTTGTTTTATTGTGGATTTAGCTGATTCCAAGTCACTTTGTAAGCGAACATTTTCCCTTCGTAGCGACAGATCACTGTTGCAAGGTACGGTGGGATCATCAATCTCATGAGCGTCCATTCGATTTTGTAATAGCTTCATTTCAACTTCGATACGCTTGATTTGTAATGTAAAGTCTTTGCAATAACAACTACGGGAATTGTTCGAATTATAACAAAATTCAGAGGTTTTCTCTGCTTCGTATTCACTTACATTGTTTGTCTGCTGTGAATAGCTATCAGCATTACATGCCAAAAGGCTACGAGACTTTTTGCTTTCGCCCGCCATATTGCCTTCGTGTCGAAGCTCGCTGTTTGTATTGAGCTTGTCGGTAATCATCGTAGCTAAGTTCTCTAGTTTCTCGACGAGACTTTGGTTGTGATCATCACAAACAATCGACAGTTTTTTCTTACTTTTTCCATGCCATTTTAAGATGTAATTGCAGCTAGTAAATAGCTTTACTTCGCCACCCGGTGACGTCCATTTTCCTTGAAGTTGCAAATCGTATTTCACAAAGGCTTTTAATTCTTCCAAAGGTTCCTCCCAGGCAAATTCTTTGGCTGAGTAAATAAGATTAACTGTGTTAGATGCTCTTCCTCATTATTGTTACTTTGCGGATAGGCCAAGTAATCTTCTATAATCACAGAGTTTTCCAAAGTATGTCCTTCGTCCATGATGGTTAAATAAAGTTCAAGGGGTCTGATAGATCCAGGCACTTTTCCTGGCACAGTATAGGAAAAGTACAGTAGGGCCACTCAGCGTAAAAAAGTGTCTACATTGTTTACTGGCTGCCAACCTAATTTACATATTGGCAGCCAGTAAACGGCAGCAGTCCACTATAAAATTGTACTACAGAATAATGATTTTGGCCGCGTAAGACACCTGGAACCTAGCTTAAATAATTAATTGCCACTTTTCTCTCCCCTAAGTGGCCCTACTGGTTGTCTCCCTATACTGTGC